ATGTGCATATATTTATGAATATTTTATGAATATCAAATGAAAATTCTGTGATTATTTATGTAACCTTAAACATTGTATATAAGTGTTATATACGAGAGGATAATGTTTAAGGATAATAATAAAAAACGTTGTTCATAATGAATTTAATTAAAGTTCAGAATCTTTAATTAAAACATTATTAATACATGTCATTCCCATTTAGAATGGAATGGTGCTATCCGCACTGTTAATATGGTGAGATATTAAATGAGTGTATTTCACATAATGAGATTGTGTGGAACAGGGACATAGACACAATATGAATTTCTAATAATTTCCGTTAAGCATAGAAATTCTAATTGAGTTTACCGATGGTCATATATAAAGTGATTTTAATCCTGAGTTCTTAACAGACTCCTATTTATAGATTTGTGTTTTTTAATTTACTCGGTACGGATTTCGAGACCCTGAATCCTATTCCTTGTATTTTGGAAACATGATGAAGTAGGTAGCCGTGAATGTTATTATACGAGATGGAATCCATTCCTTCTTGAGAAAGAAGTAGATAAATAATTCTCTTGAGTGTTGATTCGGTACTTGGATTAGTAAGAGCGCTCTAGTTCATGAATGTGTTTTATGAATCACTATCCATTAGAGAATCAATGGTACTTAAGGATGAAGATATAATTAGAGAGGTTAACGGATTCTACCTAGCTCTAATTATGAATTATTTATGGAGGATTGATCTATATGCAATGACTATATCAAATGGACACTTCACAGTTTAGAAGTAATTAATGTCTATAATTTCGAGAGTTCAATTCCAAGTTTAAAGTGGAGTAACTATTGAAATTAATAGAATTAATTAATTAATTAAAGTGTTTAATTAATTATTAATTTTATTGGAGCTCGGGATTATAGGTCCATTAGTCCCCGCATCGTCCTTGTAATTCTACCATACACAAAGGACAAAATGAGAATTTTAAAATTATGGAATTCTAAAATAAATACTCGAAAAATAATTAATTGAGAATTAATTATTATTTAAATAATGTGATTATTTAAATTTAAATTTGAATCATGAACATAATTTAAATTTATCCTTTTAAACTTATTTGATAAGTTGTTCAATTTAGAATTCAAATTAATTTAAGTTTGACTTAAATTCGAATTTGAATTTGAATTAAAATTAGACTACAGGATAAAAGATGATTTTCTCTTCCTTCCTTATCTGCAATTGGCGCCACACACAGGGATAGGAAACCCTAAGGGTAGAGGAGAATTTTTGTTCAAAATTCAAATATGAGAGAGAGATTTGATTCCTTCTAGAAGTTGGACTTCTACTCTATAAATAAGATATGATGCAAAATTACGCGTGATAATTTTTTAGCCAAATTTTAGAGAGGCTGGCCGAAATCCCTATTATAGAGAGAAGGAAAAATTTTTCCTCCCAAAAAAATTCCACATCGTGCATGCGTTGGTGTTTGTGGAAAATTCGAGTGTTTGATCAAACCCGTTTTAGTCTCGAGTGTGTCCACACACACGTCTACGTAGATTCAAGGAATTGACGTGGAAGACTTTGGTTTTCTAAACACAAGGCTTTGGAGCAAGGATCGTTCGTGGTCAAAGAACTCAAGTTATCATCCGAGTCGGCCTCCAGGTATTTTTCCTAATTGAGTTCTTGATATATAAATTAATGTGATTAATTTATTCGTGCATAAATTAATATAATCTATAGAGTATCTCAAAAGTTTTGTGAAAATTTTTGTTATACTTGATCCGCCCTACTGCCACGCTTCCGCATCCGAAATCGATTCGGTAACCAACATCGGGATCTGCTCCCAAGGATATGATGTCCATACCTCAATCTCTAGGCCATCATGTGTATTACCGTTTCTCAAAATATCATTTTAAGAAAATATCGTTTTAAACTCTTCTTTAAATCTCAATGATGTCAAATACATTTTTATCTTTAAAACGTTTTCATTAGCCAAAATTATTTAAAACAGGCTAATAAGGATGTGGACAAGAACATCCTACCTCTTGGATATCAATTCAATCTACGGATAACTTCACGTTGTCCAACTGTCTATTCTTGAACCTCCACATCCGATCGTGCCGTTAGCTTTGTCATCAAAACAACGGTTTAGAGTTTAAACCTCACCTTTAAACAATCTAGCTTAATTATGTACAATTGTATCATACTAGTGTGTCTTGATTAAGTTCATAAATAATTTCTTAATTCAAATTGTGATTCTTTGAGAATTGGAACTCAAACAAGAGAAATGGAATGAAACAAGGATTAATGTAATCCACTCATTTTGAGTTCCCAAATGAAGTTGATTTGGTTCTCCATTAAAATTCGGGTCAAAACACGTTTTAAAACTGTTTTGGGTCGGAATTAGTGTGCACCGGTCAACCGGTGACAGAGGAGTGTAACTCCACCAGTTGGCTGATGGAGTGGTGACTGGTCGACCGCCCCGATCGACCGGTGGGAAGGTTGTAGGCCAACAAAAATGGTTGAATCACAAGGAAAAAGACTAAAACTTTCATTTTCGGGTCCGATTTTGATATATTTTCAAGGGAAATAAACAAAATCAGGTTCCAATCATCAATCTAAGTATAAAGAATAAAAGACCCTCAAATTTCATCATGATTTCAACCAAAACCCATCTCAAAATCAAGTTTAACTCAAGTTTCACCAAACCAAACTAAAATCAAGTTTCACCAAAGAAAATCAAAGATTCAAGAGTGAGTTTTCAAAGGATTTACCTTGATCTTTGAGACGCGAAAGAGAGATAGAGAGAGCTGAGGGAGAGATCCGAGAGAGAGAGAGAGAGAGAGAGAGAGAGAGAGAGAGAGAGAGAGAGGGCTGAGAGGGAGAGAGAGTGAATGAGAGAAAAGAGAGAGAAAATGAGAGAAAGAGAGAGAAAAAGAAATATAAAGAAAAGAAAAGATAGGAAGTATGTATTTCCACGTGCTTTCGAGGTGGAATTGTAAATACTGAAAATAACTAAAGTTTCTTGTAAATATTTAAAATTTAAAGTTGAGGAAATATTTAATAACCATAATTAATTAAGAAAATCAAATTAAGTACACTAATAAATCACAATTAGCATAATTAAATATGTTTAATTCTTCAGGTTGTTACCGTTAATTTTGATTAGGTCTTTTCTGTCTTTATCATCCTCCTTAGTCGGTGAAACTTTTCATTTGTAGGTTATGTTTGTAAGTTAAGAAGAAGAGAAACATCAATAGGTTTTTTCTTGTTCAGATGCACTAGTCATTTTTTCTCCGTTTAATTAGTCATGTGTGGAATTTACTTATAAACAATAGAATTTAGTCTATTTCTCACGTCGCTTATGATGCGATTATAATATTGTAACCCATTTATAATTTTTTTTTTATTTCCACTTTTCAAGAAATAAAAAAGTAGTGGTGCATAATTCTTTCCGGTCCAATATTTGGACTGCAAATATAATTTTCTTTTAGAAGAAGATATATAATTTCAGGTTTTCATTACTAGCCGGGCATAATTAGAACAAAGGGGGGAAAAAAGAACCGCAATACTCCATCTATATTTTCAACCGAGGTATTTTGGTTGACGGGCAATGCTTAGTATAAATATATTTATTAAGAGTATAAGTTTAGATTTTTACTTTTATAATATTTTTTTAATAAAATAATTATATTAGTTAAAATAATAATGATAAAAAATAAAAAGTAAAAATTAAGATCCACGCACTCTATAAATTCAATAATTCTCTCATTTATAAATACTAGTTGAAAGTACGTACTACTCATGTATATTCAACATGTGCATTTTTTTTTAAATATAAAGATCTAATTTTCTTTCAAAAAATTATTTTTTAACTTTTTATTTCTTAAGAGTTTAGATTAGTAAAAATTAAAAAAACAAGAAAAAAGTAAAAAAGTAAAAATCATGAAAATATTTTAAAAAAATAAGAAAATAGAAAAATAATGCTACATGTCAAAAAGAAAGAGAAACTTTCTTATAGTGACACAAAAAAAAATTTTGATTTTTTTTTTGAGTAAGCCTTTTAACTCTTTTATGTATATAAAGTTATTATATTAATCCCAACTAAATTATTGGCAATTAAAAACGTTTCCAGCTATTGTACTAACCTCATAAGTGATATGTCAAATACTACCTATGACAGGAAAAATAAAATAAAAAATAAAATAGAATGATAAATCATATCATCACGTCACTTCTTCAATAGTTGGTTAAATTTTGAGAGTTTCATTTTGCGATAATTGGGAATTCTTCGTGTAGTATTAGAAAAAATAAATTATATATAATTTTTTATTTTTAGTCGTTAAATTTGTATAATAATTATCGATTTTGTATATATTTTTAATTTATTAGGCGCTTGATTTGTAGATTCAGAATTATTCTCGATTTACGTGTGTTTTTTGTGAAAAAAAATATTATAACGAACTACGAACTATGATTCGAATCATGACATGAATGTAGCAATCAAACAACCCATCAGTGTAATTTTAATATGATCTAACACTAAAATACTTATACTACCAGTAGTACTGGCCTACCAAAAAAACTTTCTAATTATAATATCATGTTTTGCGTAAATTTGGGTTCTTTCATTATGTATAGATCAAAGTCCATGTGAAGCTTTCCTATTTCCTTTTTGTTGAATGAAACAAATATAGCGCAGCGGAAATATATAACAATACATCACTTAATAAAGAAAAAACGAGCTAGATAAATCTATAGATTAATTGTATATTTAGACATATGGATATAGCTTCTACACGCTTTATCATTAGAAGTTTACTAAAATGACTAAAAATATTTGTAATTGGCTAATTATCATGGAGTTAATTTTTTCTTTCCTTGCCCCGTAAGTATAATTTATTCATCAGTCTGATTTTTCCCCCCCTTAACGACTGGAGCACTATGCATATGGAGCCATTCTCCTTAAACTATACCCTCTTAAAATTTGACATATTCCCTGTAAAGATACATAGGCAAATAATTAGAGAATCTTCTTGATTTTATTCGATTATTCAGCATATATACAAAACATGTCTAAATACAACTTTCGGTCGTTTATGATGTTCAAACAATCACGAAGGGAGTATATATAATTACAAACCCAAACAACAAAGAAAGTGTACAATCTATATATTTTATTATATTATATGTTAGTCTTAATTGAGTTGGACCCACACACCCTCGCTTGGAATTTCTTGATGATTCACAAACAACAAATAATACCCCGCCGGAGCAAGGATAGCGGAACGAGGCATAGCAACCTCAACATGGTACGTCTTTTTTCCTAAACTTCGTATTTGACCTCTTGGAAGTACCAAAAGCCTTTGATTCATAGAGAAAGAGTGAGTGGTAAACGACGGTGATACCAATGTCACTGACACCAAATTTTGTGCCACATTTCCTCCAATCCTAAACCGAACAAATAGCTTTTGTGCGTACTTGACCTTAGTATGTGACGTGGGCAATAATATTCTTGGACGCACATTTGAAAACTTTGCCTCTAAATAATTAGGACTAAATGCTTCTAAGCTCAATGTCGTCGGGAAAGTCACTCCTGTGAAGTTGTAACCCACATGAGGATTACTACCACCCACAAGAATTCTCCCATCGCGTAGAAGCACTGCCGTGGAATGGTACATCCGAGGTGTTGTGGTCGGGTTTTCGTCCTCAAACCGTGACCCGGCTTTGTTATCAGGCCGATAAAGTACTGGGTTCAAAACCGGGTCAATGGCGTTTTCCCACCCGGCGGTTCCTGACCCGGCTCCGTTAATTATCAAAACGTGACCGTTTGGTAGCAACGCCATGTCACCCATGACTCTAGCTCTAGGCATGTTTTCCACTACCCAATTGGGTTTCGGGTCAGTTATTTTGATCCGAGCACATGTTTTTAACGCCTCTACGAACTTTTTCCTTGCTGCTTGGACGTAAGCCCCTTTCGGAGCCCCACCACACACCAAAACCTCGGCCTCAACGTTCCTTGCTTGGATATTCTTCAATGGCAGAAGCACGGCCGATCCGGTGCTCGGATAAGACCTCGGATCGCCGCCGGGTATTTGTGGGTATCTCTTCACCACTTGGTTCCTCGCGTAGTTCCACAATATGGCTCTGTTGTTGGCGAAAACGAAGAGGTTTCCATCGGTATTTAGAAACACAAAAGGGTAAAGGTTGTTCTCTATTCCTTTGTCGTTTGTCTCCGATAAGAATGGCAAATTGTGGACGTTCTTATCGGTGTCTTTGGGATAATACTCGTAGTTGAACTGTCTCCTCCCGCCGATGATGATCTGCCTGCCGCCCGGCAGAATATGATTGGTGGCGTACCATCTTTTAGCTGATAATCCGAGGTCTATCTCCTGCCAATCGCAGGTCCGGCCGTCGCAAGGCTTGAAGACCCTGACGCGGCGTTCTCCGTCGTTGTAGCCGCCTGTCTGGATGAGGGTTCCGTCCGCCATGACTGCTCCCGAGGAGCACCAGACGTCGGTCTGGACGGTGAGGGCCCGGAAGGTGTTTGACGTGACGTCGTACTCGGCGGAGTGGGCGGTGCAGTCGACCTTCAGCGCAGTGTCAAACCGGTCATTGCGGCATTTTCCGTCCGGCAGTGACAGTTGGGAGCGGCCGAAGTCTGTGCGGTCGAAGATGACGACGCGGTCGTTGTTGAGCAGCTGCATGTGCATGGCGGGGATGCCGATGCTCTTTTGCAGGAGCTGCCACCTCCCGCCCGCTGCAGCGGTGGGAGATGGCAGGAGAGAAAAGAGGAGGGAAAGGATTGCAAGAGTAATGAGTAGCTTAGTCATTGCTAGCTAATTAACTATATTTAGTTAGAGATTAGCTAGTTTATTTGGTCGTGTTTAGAACTTGTACTTCTTTTTCTAGGTGTTTGATAATATTGGCTAGCGCTCCTAATCGTTTTTGTTTGTAGTTCTTAAAATGTATGTTTGTGTGTGAGGAAGAGATGTTGCCTACTTCGTCCAAGCATTTAAAGACGTGCGATTGTAGGGATTTCCGACCAAGTCAAATGACAATTCGAGGAATTAGGCAATGCAAATAATTTGTTGAGGAGGACAAAAGGCTGCTTCCATACCTTTTGAATATGATTTTTTTTTTGTTTCATAATTTTTTTATTCTTTTATAGATGTTGAGCGTTTTGGTTAGTGATAATTATATTAATTAGTATTCTGTTTTCTTTTTCAAAACTGGTTATCTGACCCGAACGAAGGTATAATTTTTTGCATGATTTGGTGAAAGTAAAAGAATAAAATTCTTCTAGTTGCATGGCATTATTAATTGGTTACTTCTTTTATTTTCAGAGTATATGTAGAGGGACGTGAAAGTACCGGTACCCGTTTTGCAGCCAAAGTAGTACTATTGTTGGTTATTCACTAAAGAAACGTAACATGAATTACTTTTTCACTTGGACTTTACATTACTATTCACTGCGTATAGCTAGGAAACTACTATGAGGCCTTTTTGTGTGTGACATGATAATTGGTTACCGTTGAGTACAGAAGGTCGTTGTGGGCAAAAGGTTGTTCTTATATTCCTTTCAGCTCATTCACGAAGGTGAATTAATGAAACCCGAAATCCCACGTACTTACCAGAAAGAGAAAAGGAAACAAACTGAAAAGTCTCAAATACCACGCATCATTAAAGTAATTTTGTACGTGGTCCCTGGAAAAAAATTTCATTCCAAAGTTCGCTTTGCCCTAGCTATTTTTTTGTTTAATTATAAGAAGCCCTGTTTGGTTCAACAATTTGAACTAAATAATTCAATTCGAGTTTTATTTGAAGTTTCAAAATAAGTGTTTGGTTTTAAAATAAAGAGGGTCCATTAAAATTATCAACTAAAATTTGAGTATTCATGTTAACCCTAAATTCATCAATTTATATTGTTGTCAGACAGTTCAAATATAATTACTTTTTTTTTTTTTTCTGTTTTTCTCTCTTTACTTCAAGTTTAAAAAAGTCACACTTCTTCATTTCAACTCTAATTGAGATAATTTTTTTTATGTGCTCACAATAAAAAGAAAAACAAATCTCCGTTCATATTGCATATTTTCTAATCGTTGTCCTTCTAGCTACCTAGTAACTTATGAATTCCGAATCATGAGCTCACCAGTACACCACGGAGTTCTCCATTTTGCGATAGGTAATTAGCTCCCTTCTTCTAGGCCGTTACAGTTGAAATTAAATTTAAATTTAAATTTAAATATTTATGAGTGAAAATATTACAGTAAAAAGATTAAATTGTGATTTGAAAAATAAAAATAATGGGGCCTTAATTTTTCTATTTTTATTTGTTTATTTGTGTGCGATAACCTCCTTTGTATTTGATATACACATACGGAAAAGCAAATCCACTCTTTTTTTTTTTCTTTTTTTTTTTTTTTTTCCGGCTGAGAAAAGTAAACCCACTCTGTTATATGCAAAACAGCGTAAGCCTATGGTTTCCGGAGAGTACTCATCTTTCAATAAGAAAAAGAAATAAAGAAAGAAAAAAAAAATAGTACACTCACCTTCAAAAATCCATAGATAAATTTCCCTCGGCAAGTCTTAATCTGCCTTGGATTCTTTTAATCTGGCTTTGATTCTTCTTTCCGGTAGGTTGATATTTTATCAAGTTAATAATTATGCTGAAAAGGGTCAGCTGGATTTTTCTTTTTCTTTATTGGAGGCGGTCGTTTTTCTTTGTCTGAACTCGTGGATTTACTTCGAAAACATCCTGCAGGTCTTTATTATTTGTTTATCTTTTCTTGTGTTACTAATGACAAGATTCATAATTAGAATACTTTGATATCATAATTATTGGTTTTAGTTACTCCTAATAATAAACAAATTTCTCTTAAAAATAATTATTCAATGAACTTTTGTTAGACTCGTTCTTTCGTCTATCTGCAGGATCAATTCCATTTATTGAGAACGTATTTTTCAATTAATATTTCCTGCCGTAGGGGGACCCTATTTCTGTTGTGTACAAACTTCATCTTGTTAACACACAATATTAGAAACAAAATAAATATTTAATAAATCCAATCCTGGCCAAGGCTATATAGCACATATGCTGGCGTGGTTTAATTATTAATCAAAATTTATTTCTCAATTACAGTCAACACCAACCATCTCGTACGTCAATATTTGCTTATAATTGGTCAAAAATTTAATTGAGAAGACAGAACAAAAAAAAACAAGTATTTACCTTTTCCAAATAAATTAAACGACTAATCAATGGTTATTTACCGTGGATTGTCAAATGTAGAGTTAATTGTCATTGACACTAAACTTAATTAGAATAATCTGACATTGTAGGATGAAAAGTCTATTAAGTATTATGTGGTACGTAAATTTTTTCTTGGTGGGGAGAAAAGGGGTTCTTGATAGTAGGTGATAGTTTACGTAAGAAACTAATGTATATCACTGATTAACAAAGACTAATGACTGTTTCCATGTCCTAGTCATTAAGTCAAATGCTAATTTTGAGTGATAAACCTATCATTTCCATGCTAACTTATTAAATTAAAGTCAAAGAAATATCCTCTTAGAAAAACTGTGGTTCGATAACGTATTCATCCGTTTTAAGAAGAAAGTACCACTAATTGATTTTTTTTTATAAAAGAAATTAAGAGAAGAATAAAAGTACTTATTTTCATGTGGATTTACTAATAATATTTTTTTCTTTTAATTTTTATTAGCATCTTCACGATGAAAGTGACATGTTTAGAGCAACTGAGAAAAGTACCTTTTAAACTTATTATATAGCCGCCATTACAGTATATATAGATCACTTAGGAGCAAAGAAATATATATAATTATTAATTAAATCAGTAAAATTAATTTGGAGGAAAACTTACCTTAATTAACCACGAAATGGTCAATGAACAACATTGCTCCGAAGCTGAACCATATATTTGCAATTACAAAGCCTAACTTAATCTAAAGAAAAGTTTACTACCTTAATCAAGGATTAATACCAATTATTAGCAAAAGATCAATATTAATGTCTTTGAATGATCTTTGTCAGGTGTATTAAAAACTGGAAGAATTATCTTATAACACCACTATATTTGTCAGGTTCCACGTAGTGGAAAAATTGGACCGGTGAAATAAGACTTTGTGGGGCAAATTTTCCACTGCACACCAACAATTATTACTATGTTGCAAATTAAATCTACCAAATTTTTATCAGATTTTAATTCATTTTGTCCTCAATTTTCTCCGTGGGGAAACAAAAACTTTTCAATGAAGGAATTGAAAATTTCTTCGATGGCAAACATTCTCCTTGGGTGTACATGCTACAAAAAGCTGGCTAGCTAGCTCAATTCTCTTCAGCCTTCGCTTTTGGTTTGCTAAATTTTGCTCTTTTTGGATCTTATCAAGACCAATCCATGCCGAACTCTTTTGACTTTTATTTTTATTATTATTTTTTTAAATCTTTCTCTTACTTTTCATACCATAAATTTATAATGAAATTGTTCGGCGTGTTTGAGGCCTGAACGATGATTTTTTTATTTTTTATTTTTATTTGGTAGGTCAGGCATATTCTTTCCAGCAAATTTATATTTTTCTTATGTGATAATTGTTCTCATAATTATAGATCATCTTTTTCAACATTATCAGCTGGGATTCTCATGACGTGCAAAAAAAGAAAACTACGCGCGCTTCATACTTTATCTGGCATATATTTAATTGTAGATACATAATTTTTATATAATTTTAAGGCTGAATGGCTGATATAATGTCCATTCAACAACTACGAATACTGATTGTCATTCAACAAGGGTAAAAAGGGGGGGAAAAAAACACGCAGATAGTTGTTTGCCAAAAACTGAAAACATTAAGAACTGACCGTGTCTTAGTTACGTTTAAGAGACATTGTCAAACGAAATCAGATCCAAAATGATTAAGCAAAAAAGGGGTCTAAAATGAGAGCAAAATAGAAGTACTTAAACACGCCCTCCTCCAAATCCAAACATGTACACAACATTTTCTGCGGATATAATCTTTTGTCTATATCTATCGAAAGTTCTTAACTATGTATAAAGGTTTTTTCCTTTTCATTAAACACATAGTGGTTGGAATTGGAATAAATAAATAAACTGTAGAACAATTAGCAATATTTTTTGCTTTTTTATCTGTATATATTTTAGATTTGATCAAAATATATAATTGAAAAAACCTGATATATATATATATATATATGACATGCTCAAAGTATAACCCTATTGATATGGTATTTTTAATAATCTAACGTAAAAGTCTTTTTTTTTTTTGAAACCAGAGAGAAGGTTGCTAGCAATATAATTATTGGGTCCACACTGTATTTTCCCCAACGCAACAAGGTTCAGCCTGACGAATTCAAGATTTAATATACATGTGAGATATATATGTATATATATATGGAATTATACACAGGTACAAAATAAAAAAACTTGATGAACTCATGAACAATTATACATGGAGCGATTGGTCCCCATCCATTACTTATAATGTTTGCGTTGCCCCCCTGGCGTAATTTGGTTAAACTCTCTATCCACATGGATGACAACAGTGACATGATAGCCATTCTTTTTTATTCATCCTACACAGAAATTTCATTGCCTCAGAGTAGCCCTTGTCAAAGGTTTTTATTAAACTCTTCTCCAAAAGAATTCATTCATTTCATATATTTTCGTGAGCCACACAAACTCCGAAAAGTGAAAAGCCTTTCCCTTTACTTATAATAAAAGAGCACGTGCTTTTTAAAAAAAAAAAATTAATGATCTGTTGTTGTTTCTATGATCAAAAACACAAATGTGGGGAAAATAAATTGTTTGACAACCCATGAACGCAAGTTGGTGCTCTTATAGTTGATGCGCAACCAAAAAAACCAAGAAAGTCGTCTTCTAAATGGCTAAAGGTAACCAGACCATCAGGGAATTGGTCTAATGGTCTTGATTGGCATGGGAGAAAGATGGCATTTAATTTGTGAATTTTTTTTTATTTTTATTTTTTTAAGTATTTATTAAGATACCTTAGCTTTCAAAAAAGAAAAAAGGAGTACGAAGCTAGGGGACCAAGGATACTTGATATTTGCTACTACATAATTCGGCAAACAGATTAGTCAGAGGACCACTTTACTATTGCGACTTCCCAACTAAAGATTTCAAGGATTTACCATTGCAAAAGCTAACGGGTCCAAGTGGCTAGGTGGGAGTTCTAGGAAATTGAGTCATGGTACTTGTATCGACAGCAACGTGAAAGAGAACCGGAAAATAAGAAGAAACTTGCAATGTATTTGAAGATCTTGACTATCTCGATAGAAAAAATATGAATTCATAATTAAATATATATATACACATATATATTTATATATTGTTAATAAATAGCACTAGCGGTTGATTAATATATAAACAATATTAAGCAAACACTAGAGTATTGATGGTTATCAACAACTCAACAGCTAAGCAGTTTGATGTGATCAAGAGTCGGGTCTAATTTGTTCCATCAATGAGATAAATTGGTGAGATTTGGAAGCAACAATCTGTAAAGCAGTAATAAGTATTTTCTCATTCTAGGCTTTCTAGCTTCCGATGTCCCCACCAATAATTTGACACGTTTGGGGGTGGGGACAATGTAAGCTGGCACATCTCCTCAAAATCACTAAAAAAAAAAAAAAAGAATTAAACGAAGGTAGGTCCCTTTTATGGTGAGGCTCTTGCGCATTTCCACTCAGATTTCCCTTTCTCGGCTTCTTTGTTGTCTGGTTCAAAAAACGAACTTTAAACCAAACGAATGAACATACAAAAGGCAGAACTATGCCCACTTCACATAAGAGAGCGGAAAAGAAAGAAAACAGGGAATGGAAGAAACAACGTAGCTACTTTCACGAACCTAGCTTCAGTCGAGTTCGACTTGGATAATATAATCAAAACCCTTCAAACATATTTGTAAGTTAATAAGCATGATTTGTACACTTCACGTTTGAGGAGGATAGAGATCCCAAAGAGCCACGGTTGTGTCTTGTGATGCGGATGCCATTAGCTTAGAATCGGGAGAGAATGAAATGGCATTACACTTGAAAAAAAAAAAATAGTATCAGAAGTGATAAATGAGTTGCAAACAAAGGACAAACAGCATGGCAAATTGGCATTTAAGCTTTCAACAGTCACATTAAAATTAACAAAAACTATGAAAAAATAAAACAATTCACAGAGATATGGAGCAAGATTCGTCAACGTGGTTTGTATCACAGAACAAAAGTCACATACCGTAGCATGGTGATACTTCAATATGGCCAAAGCATTTCCCTTGCGATAATTATATATCCGCACTCTGCCAAAGAGAAGGCCAAACTTAAAAAGTAGATAATGATCAATGAGAGATGAATTGTATCTTTCACACGGAACACTGACTTGGACTGAAATCGCTAACTAGACTTTATCCACCAGAATAAGTGAGAAAAGAACAGTGTTTTGCATTGACATCAAGATATGAATTCATCTAAAACTCTAAAATTAAACCACAACTCTTGTTTCATGTGAGTTTTTCCTTCTTGGTTTCCACACCACAAAACAAAACGTTCATGAAATAAGAAAATAGTGGGGAAAGAAAGGAACTCTTGGAAGAAAATTCAATGACATAAAATAAAGTTTAAAACTGAAATACCTGCAACGTTAATATCCAATAAATTCCTGAAACCTGCTTCGGGCCTCGAGTTCAACGCCATATTACCACTCAATAAATTAATATGAAAAACTCATTCAAAAACATAACTCAAGTCCATGAGGGTTATCAGTTTGCAGGCCAAGAGCGTACTATGACATGTTAACAACAAAACAAATCAATCTCCCAACCTGTGATCCCAGCCTGCTGTAGCAGCAATTCGTCCATCTGGCCGAATAGATGTGCCAGATATGCCCGGTCGTTCTAAACTGATTTCTTTCTTGACCGCACAAGTACCCTAAACCAAACAATATATAGCATATTAAAGACTGTCTCATCTTCTGCAGCTTTTGCCTCATCTTAGAATTTAAGTGTCAAAAACTATGAAAATCCATATTAGAGAAAAATCGCGGAAGGGAAAAAAAAGTATCATAAATGAGATTGTCTCATCTTCTGTAGCTTTTGCCTTTTGGGTCTCTTCACAGCCAAATAATTATCATTGCTCTTTAATAAGCAGAATTATTTGTATCGAAGAACAATCAGCACCTTATCTGAATTTATAACACAGCCCATCTATATGGAATGACCACTTAGCTATGCCATTGATCTCTAAAACAGAATTTAACATGAATCCAGAAATTTTAAGAAATTTTGACAATCAGTCAGTAAGATTAGCACATCATAACTCATAGACCAAAAATGACTGCAATATAGAGTGTGGGCAAATGAAATGACAAAATCATCGAAGTAACATTAAAAAATCATCACTGATTCAAAAGCATCACATGTTCACATGCCATGTTAGTACGCATTTGCAACATACTCCAGTGTGTGGCAGAGAGTTATACCATTGAATGATCCAAACCATACAGCACAAGTTTGGCATCCGCAGATCCAGAGATACCACCATTGCATGACCCATCAATGCATAGACTTAGAACTGCACAAGCACACAGTTACCACGTCCTGTTCTAGAAGAATAAAATGATGATGAATATGACGTAATCCTCTAACTGCCGCGTCCCATACCTGGTTCTGAATGAAACTTGACGGAAGTTACTGGAGACCCAGGATTTCTTATATCCCACCAGAGCATGGAGCCATCTTCATAACTGCAGCATGTAAAATAGAAAAACGGAACCACACAACATCAATTGAACCCAATTTTTTGACAAACCACAATGCTTTGGCTGTGGACTCTGATTCTAGAAACCTAACGCATGGAAAGATTGCTTCAATCACAATTAACTAAGCAATCATAAACAATATTGAACCACATGAAGTGATCCTTAATGAAACAACCAAAAATTTATAAGGTATAGACTTGAAGAGTACATAATTTGGTGAGTCTCTACTGACAAATAGGTTGGACTGATGACAAGAAACAGGGAGAAGAAGCCAATTTATTTATAAACTCGGGAAGAAGAAGACAGCAACAAATGTTTAACGTCTGTATCAGTTCATACAAACAAAAAATAATGTCCGAGTGCATGCTACAAAGTCCATACAGATAGATGATAATTACAAAGTGCTAAGTTTCATGAAAATGTGAAGAAAGGAGGAAAAAAAATCTCCCCAGCCATTACGTTTATAAATCCCTGTGATTCAGATGGAATAAATGCTTGAACAGCCATGCACATTCCTGCAAGAAACAAAGCGCGCATGCCAAAAACATATAAAGTAAATAAACAGTGAATAATCCTAGTACTAATAACTAAAGTTGACGTTTGTTAGGCCTCCTGTTACATTGGTCTATTCTCGGAGGAAGGGGCATAGGGCAATTGTACAAGACAAGGGGGCAGGAAATGGAAATATGGGAAAGGAGAGCTGATGTGGCAAGTTGTTTAGGAATTTGTTAGCTGGGCAGCATATCTAGGGAAGGAGGGGGGACGAGAGAGGGGGTCTATTGATTGGGAATTCTATTAGCAGACCTTGAGAGGAAGGAGAACCTCGAATTCTCCATTGTTCTTGCTGTTCTAATGTTCTTATTTTTATGGCTGTAATTTCTCTCTTCGGAGAGACATAAGTGTGATTAATAAAAGGAACTTGACCCATTTTCAAGTATATTTCTCTGAGTTTGTTGTTCTGTTATTAGTCTGTGAGGGGGGTACCTAACATTTTGGTATCAGAGCGTGACGATTCATGGGAAAAAACTCTGGTGAGCGACCCCAGACGAAGGAGATAGCACGGCTGGAACTGAGGATGGATTCGTTTTACGAGGCGTTACAGATCGTAGAGGCCTTGACCGAACCTCTACCCAAGTTGTAGGAAGACGTGACAGAGATCGGCGCTCAGCTGGACGACGTAGCGGAGCCACCATTTTCACCAAATTAGATTTGAAGTCGGGGTATCACCAAATTCGCATGTGTGACGAGGATGTTCCTAAGACTGCCTTTCGGACTCCGGAAGGACATTATGAGTTTCTCGTTATGCCCTTCGGATTGACAAATGCACCGGCTACTTTTCAGTCTTTGATGAATGAAGTACTTAAGCCGTTCTTACGCCGGTTTGTGTTGGTCTTCTTTGATGATATCCTGATTTACAGCCGTTCCTGGCAGAACCATATGGAGCACTTGGACAGGGTCCTGTCGGTTTTGAAGACCAACGAAATGTACGTCAACAAGAAAAAATGCCTCTTTGCCCAGAAACAATTGGAATATTTGGGTCATGTTGTTTCTCGGACTGGAGTGGCTGTGGATTCCAGTAAGGTACAGGCCATGTTGGATTGGCCACCTCCACGGTCCATTAAAGAGTTGCGGGGATTCTTGGGCCTCACGGGTTACTACCGCCGGTTCGTGGACGGGTATGGGCGCATTGCGTGGCCACTGACGCAGCAACTTAAGAAGGACGCCTTTCATTAGAATTCGGAGGCTGAAGAGGCTTTCCAGCGCTTAAAAAAAGCTATGACTGAGATTCCAGTGCTGGCCTTGCTAGATTTTTCTCAACCGTTTGTGGTGGAATCGGATGCTTCGGGATTTGGGGTAGGAGCGGTTTTGATGCAACAGCAGCGGCCCATCGCTTATTTTAGCCAAGTCCTTTCGGCACGCGCTCGCGCCAAATCGGTCCATGAGCGGGAGCTAATGGCCATTGTGCTAGCCATTCAGAAATGGCGACCTTATTTGTTGGGAAGACGCTTTGTGGTGCGCACCGATAAAAAAAGTTTGAAGTTCTTATTGGAACAGCGCTTGGTAAGTGTGGAGCACCAGCGATGGCTGTGTAAATTGCTTGGCTATGATTTCGAGATTCAGTACAAACCGGGTCCAGAAAACAAGGTGGCTAACGCCCTTTCGAGACAACAAGTGGGGCTTGCTTTGATGGTCATGACGACTCCAATGGTGCTCGATATTGAGGAGTTGTAGTGGCAGGTTAAGGCAGATCCGGAACTCAACAAAACCGTGGAGGGGTTACTGGCTGGCACTCACTCTTTGACGGGGTTTACTCCTCAAAGGGGGCATTTACTTTACAAGGGCAGGTTGGTCGTTACTCCAAAATCTCCACTTATTCCAACTTTGTTACGTGAGTTTCATAGTGTGGAAATAAGGAAACATGTTAGGAGATTTAGTTATTTAGTTTCTTTATTTAGAAAAGATTAGATTTTATTTAGTTGTGATCTTACCAAAGTTAGGAGATTGTAATCTAGGTTAGTAATTATTTTATTTTTAGAATTCCTAATTTGTAGGAATTCCGTTTCCTATTTTGGTGGTCTGGTATGCCAACCCTAGTCTATATATTAGGATGTAAAGTATTGTTTCAATAGAATGAGGAAAATTCACGATTTCTTCATGGTATCAGAGCGGGTTTTTTAAGCCCTAGCCCCTCTTCGTGCGTCCTCTTCTTCATTCCTCTGGCCGACTCTTTTCCATGACCAAATACGGCATGGCGTTTCAATCGACTTCCTCGGAAGTGACTTCCAAACTCAAGCCCACTCCTGCGGTTTCCACCATTCCCGATTCATCTCCTCATCTCGTTACCAATCACAAACTAAATGGCCAAAATTTTCTGCAATGGTCTCAGTCCGTATTTATGTTTGTGTGCGGCAGAGGCAATGATGGACATCTCACTAGTGAAGCTGCTGCTCCAGAGGCCACGGATCCAAAATTTTGTTCATGGAAGATTGATGATCATCTTGTAATGTCATGGTTAATAAACTCTATGAGGAGAGAATTTTCTGCTCCACATGACAGCCAAGGAAATATGGGAGGCTAGCCGTGAGACTTATTCCAACACAGAGAATACCTCAGATTTGTTTGAGGTTGAGACACGGCTCTACAATCTGAAACAGGGAGACATGAGTGTGACGCAGTACTTCAACATGCTTACTCGTTGTTGGTTGCAGTTGGATTTGTATGAGACCTATCCGTGGAAGTGTGCTGATGATTCATCAATTTATCGGCAGATTGTTGAACAAAAACGGACTATAAGGTTTCTTCTTGGCCTGAACAAAGACTTAGATGAAGTCAGGGGGAGAGTTATGGGAGTTAAACCCTTTCCCACCATTTAGGAAGCATTTGCAGAGGTCCGAAGGGAGGAGAGCAGAAAGAAGTTAATGCTGCCCGAACCCAACATCACCCCTGCAGTAGAAGGATCAGCCTTATATACTCACGGTTCTTCACAGAACAATAGGGCTGGAAAGGGTCGTCCATAGTGTGATCATTGCAGGAAACCTGGACACGTGAAGGCAACCTGTTGGAAGTTACATGGAAAACCTGCTGATTGGAAGCCCTTCAATTGCCAAGACAAAGAATCTCGTGCCAATGCTGCTGCCTCCACAGAAACCAGTGCAGAAAATAGTCCGTTTACAAGGGAGCAAATTGAGGCACTGCAGAAGATGTTTAGTCAGTCTCCTAGTCCTAGCCAAACACCTTCATCCAATGTGGAACAGCATACTAGCCTCCTAGCACATCAAGGTACACTAGCCAAGACCATGGATAGTTGATTCGGGAGCCTCAGACCATATGACTGGAGATTTCAGTATTCTAATGGATTTTCAGCCTTCCTCTAATCACTCGGGAGTCAGTATTGCAGATGGCACAATTTCCCCAGTTGCAGGAACCGGATCTGTTCGTATAACAAAGGACTTACAACTTTCATCTGTTCTTTATGTTCCAAAGTTGAACTGCAATTTACTTTCCATCAATCAAATCACTCGGGATCTCAATTGTCTCACTAAATTCCGTTCTAATTCTTGTGTTTTTCAGGCAGTGGATTCGGGGAAGGTGATTGGCAGTGCTGATATGCATGGAGGACTTTACTTGCTCAAACAAAAGAACCTCCCAAGTAGACAAGTTCATCAATCAAGTTGTGTCTTTGAGTCTGTCAAGTTTGCTTCTAATTCTATGTCTATTTCCAATTCTAATTCTGTCCCAGTTGAGAGTCAAGTCATGTTGTGGCATTATCGCCTTGGTCATCCAAATTTTGCTTATATTGAAAAATTGTTCCCTCATTTGTTTATCAATAAAAATTTCAGTTCTTATCAATGTGAAATTTGTCAATTAGCAAAGCATACCCGACATGTATACTCAAGTCTTCAATACAAGCCGTCACATCCTTTTTCAATAATCCATAGTGATATTTGGCGGCCATCACGAGTGAAAAATATCAATGGGGCCAGGTGGTTTGTCACGTTTATCGATCATCACACAAGAACCACTTGGACCTTTCTCATGAAAGAAAAATCCGAAACAACCACAATTTTTCAATCTTTTCATGCCATGATTTAACCCAATTTAAAAGCCATATCCAAGTTCTCAAAACCGACAATGCCAAAGATTATTTCAACTCCATTCTCGGCCCTTACTTGTCATCACATGGAATTGTTCACATCAGTTCTTGTGTGGACACTCCACAACAAAACGGAGTGGCTGAATGGAAAAATATACACTTACTGGAAGTAGCCCGTCCCAATATGTTCACAAATAATGTCCCTAAACATATTTGGGGGGAGGCTGTACTTACAGCCACCTATCTCATCAATAGGATGCCAAGCTTTGTCTTGAAATTCCAAACACCTCGTCAAGTCCTCACCACAATACACCCTCACATTCTCACTTTTACCTCTGATCTTCCCCTTAAAGTCTTTGGCTGCACTTCCTTCGTCCATATTCATCACAATCATCGTACCAAACTCGATCCAAAATCACTCAAGTGTATATTCCTTGGTTACTCATCTCATCACAAAGGTTATAAATGTTACTCTCCTCTTACCAGGAAAGTCTACAATTCCATGGATGTCACCTTCTTCGAGAGTCAATCATACTTTCCCAAATCCGACATTCAGGGGGAGAGTTCCAAGGAATATCAGATTTGGGATCTTCTTCATGACAATCAATCCGTGTTTGTAAATCCCAGTTCAGCCACTGTTCCTGCTCCAGCCGAATAGCCTGCTTCTGTTCATAGCCCTGCCACTGTTCAATCCGTTCCTAGGCAGCCTACCACAGAAACAGCCCAAAATCCGTTGCAACTTGATACTAATAACACTGAACTTCGTGTCTACAGAAGGAGAAGAACAACTGAGCAAACTAAAGAACCTCTGCAAACTCAGTGCTTTCAATCACAAGAACCAAATCCTATTGTATCTGACACTCACAATGGTATGGATTCCTCTCCTCCTTATACTCATGCTCCTATGATTAATGATTCAAA